TCTTTGAGGGTCTGTTGGAGAAGTGTCGCCCCATGTTGCTTTCCGACTGAGAGAAACAAATCCTGGAGCAATCGGGACACACCTTCTACGAGAGCTACCAGATCCCAAACCAGTTTCTTGAACTGTATTTGCTGTGCTTTCGCCCACTAGTCGAAGCCGGCAAAATGGTCGATTTCCTCTACATCTACCCACCTCACCAATTTCGACCCTCGGCGGGTAAACTCCGAATCATTCTCGCCGACGACTGCTATCCGGGACCTAAGGACAGACACAACCGATGCACCGACTGCCTCGCCGCTCTATCGGAACTGCCTGCTCTCTTCAGACCCGATAACTCTACATGCAAGTGCGGTGCCATCGACCACTGCGTCGACAGCAAGAAATGCATTCTCTGGGGAAAGAAAGCGATAGACTACATACCCCAGGAGCGACTCCCACTCGAGGTTCCAGAAGAAATCATGGCCGACAGCTGTTTCGTGAATGTAGAGAACCTGTACGACAGCGCCTTGCGCTTCCTGGAGCATACGGTACGCACTCCTCACCAGCAAATTGGTGGACCACTGTCCGTGCAAGGAGAAAGAGTCTTGTATCTTCCGGCAGCTATCAGGGGAAGCAGAGGTACCACAGGGACAGGGCAATATTTTGGCATACCCCATTGCCCAACTATGGCGGGTCCAAGGATATGGAAGTGGCACCCCTCCATGCAGCTTAACACCGAAAAGCCGCAGACGTCCCAGAAGGAGTCTACACATGCAAAAGTTTGCCGTGAAATGAGATAATGGCGGGAAGAACCGGCTGTTGCTGCTACTCGATTCACCTACTGGGGAAACGATTCCAGTCTACGGCTACAAGATACGAGAAACGATTCGGGTCGCCGGTGGAATAGAACGCCTACGGTTGGCCGGGGAACCGTTTCTGTGCACGCTCGGTAAAATCTGCCGTTAACCCATATCGAAAAAGACAGACGATAGAGAAGTCGAGTTGTTGCTTCCAGACCTTGGGCGAGAATAGGTTCTATGGGTTCTTCTAGGCTCCAACATGACTAGGGAGAGTACCACTCCTACTCTGACATGGACCGGGGTGCTGTGGAGGACCTTCCAGGCACCGCAGGGCTAGGGAGAGTACTACTCCTACTCCAACATGGACCGGGGTGCTGTGGTCCAGGAACCGCAGTGCTAGGGAGAGTACTACTCCTACTCCAACATGGACCGGGGTGCTGTGGTCCAGGAACCGCAGTGCTAGGGAGAGTACTACTCCTACTCTGACATGGACCGGTTTGCATACCTAGGGGAAAAACAACAACGCATGGTTCGTATAGGCTGCATTCCACACTCTACTCCATGTGGAAGGGATCCCCACATTTGGTCTTGGGTGTTTCTATCTTCTCATCGGCCGGGGGTTGTAAGGGGTGCACGAAGGGGGAAACTGGTTTGCTGTGCTTCCAGGTCTTGTGGACTACCTTCCAGAGAAACAAGGCAGCTATCGAAAGGTAGGTCAACCTTTGAGCCGATTCTGCCATCTGCCGCACCTTCTCAATACCCAGACGGGTCTGTTCTTGTTCCTCCTCGACACTTTCTATTTCCTCCCAGAGTTCGTCGTCGTCGTCATCCTTGTTTAGCCTAGACAAGATGTCCACCAACAAATTTGTGGTTTGCTCCGGACGCTCCGGACGCAGCCTTTTGTTCCAGCCTCCCCAAGCGGTTGTAGAACTCCTGGACGGTGGGCGCAGTCGACGGTTCTGCAGAAGGTCCTCCACAGCACCCTGGTCCATGTCAGAGAAGGAGTGGTACTCTTCCCTAGCACTGCGACGCCTGGACCACAGCACCCCGGTCCATGTTGGAGTAGTAGTATTCTTCCTAGCCCTGTGGGGCCTGGAAGGTCCTCCCCAGCACCCCGGTCCATGTTGGAGTAGGAGTAGTACTCTCCCTAGCCCTGTGGGGCCTGGACCACAGCACCCTGGTCCATGTTGGAGTAGGAAGTACTCTCCCTAGCACTGCGGTGCCTGGACCACAGCACCCCGGTCCATGTTGGAGTAGTAGTACTCTCCCTAGCCCGGTGGTGCCTGGACCACAGCACCCCGGTCCATGTTGGAGTAGGAGTGGTACTCTCCCCCTAGCACTGCGCGTGCCTGGACCACAGCACCCCGGTCCATGTTGGAGTAGGAGTACTCTCCCTAGCACTGCGTGCGGTGCCTGGACCACAGCACCCCGGTCCATGTTGGAGTAGTAGTACTCTCCCTAGCCCGGTGGTGCCTGGACCACAGCACCCCGGTCCATGTTGGAGTAGGAGTGGTACTCTCCCTAGCACTGCGGTGCCTGGACCACAGCACCCCGGTCCATGTTGGAGTAGGAGTACTCTCCCTAGCACTGCGGTGCCTGGACCACAGCACCCCGGTCCATGTTGGAGTAGTAGTACTCTCCCTAGCCCGGTGGTGCCTGGACCACAGCACCCCGGTCCATGTTGGAGTAGGAGTGGTACTCTCCCTAGCACTGCGGTGCCTGGACCACAGCACCCGTCCATGTTGGAGTCCATGTGCCTGGACCACAGCACCCCGGTCCATGTTGGAGTAGTAGTACTCTCCCTAGCCCGGTGGTGCCTGGACCACAGCACCCCGGTCCATGTTGGAGTAGGAGTGGTACTCTCCCTAGCACTGCGGTGCCTGGACCACAGCACCCCGGTCCATGTTGGAGTAGGAGTGGTACTCTCCCTAGCCCGGTGGTGCCTGGACCACAGCACCCCATGGGAGTATAGTACTCTCTCCTAGCCCTGTGGGGCCTGGACCACAGCACCCCGGTCCATGTTGGAGTAGGAGTACTCTCCCTAGCACTGCGGTGCCTGGACCACAGCACCCCGGTCCATGTTGGAGTAGGAGTAGTACTCTCCCTAGCCCGGTGGTGCCTGGACCACAGCACCCCGGTCCATGTCAGAGTAGGAGTAGTACTCTCCCTAGCCCTGTGGGGCCTGGACCACAGCACCCCGGTCCATGTTGGAGTAGGAGTACTCTCCCTAGCACTGCGGTGCCTGGACCACAGCACCCCGGTCCATGTTGGAGTAGGAGTAGTACTCTCCCTAGCCCGGTGGTGCCTGGACCACAGCACCCCGGTCCATGTTGGAGTAGGAGTGGTACTCTCCCTAGCTATGTGGGAGCCTGGAAGGACCCATAGAACCTATTCTCGCCCAAGGTCTGAAAGCAGCAACTCGACTTCTCTATCGTCTGTCTTTTCCGATATGGGTTAACGGCAGATTTTACCGAGCATGCACAGAAACGGTTCCCGCACCAACCGTAGGCGTTCTATTCCACCTGCGGCCCGAATCGTTTCTCGTATCTTGTAGCCGTAGACTGGAATCGTTTCCCCAGTAGGTGAATCGAGTAGCAGCAACAGCCGGTTCTTCCCTTCGTATCTCGCTACGGCAAACTTTTTGCATGTGTAGACTCCTTCTGGGATGTCCGCGGCTTTTCGGTGTTCGCTGCATGGAGGGGGTGCCACTTCCATATCCTTGGACCCGCCATAGTTGGGCAATGGGGTATGCCAAATATTGCCCTGTCCCTGTGGTACCTCTGCTTCCCCCGATAGCTGCCGGAAGATACAAGACTCTTTCTCCTTGCACGGACAATGGTCCACCAATTTGCTGGTGAGGAGTGCGCAGGCGCTGTCGTACAGGTTCTCTACATTCACGAAACAGCTGTCGGCCATGATTTCTTCTGGAACCTCGAGTGGGAGTCGCTCCTGGGGTGTGTAGTCTATCGCTTTCCTTCCCCAGAGAACGCATTTCTTGCTGTCGACGCAGTTGTCGATGGCACCGCACTTGCATGTAGAGTTGTCGGGTCTGAAGAGAGCAGGCAGTTCCGATAGAGCGGCGAGGCAGTCGGTGCATCGGTTGTGTCTGTCCTTAGGTCCCGGATAGCAGTCGTCGGCGAGAATGATTCGGAGTTTACCCGCCGAGGGTCGAAATTGGTGAGGTGGGTAGATGTAGAGGAAATCGACCATTTTGCCGGCTTCGACTAGTGGGTGAAAGCACAGCAAATACAGTTCGAGGAACTGGTGTGGGATCTGGTAGTGCTCGTAGAAGGTGTGTCCCGATTGCTCCAGGATTTGTTTCTCTCAGTCAGAAAGCAACATGGGGCGACACTTCTCCAACAGACCCTCAAAGACTTCGGCCATGTCGGGAGTTGTCGTCGTCTGTGGCTCGGGGTCTATACCACCTCGGATTCGCGTGTATCGGGCTTGCGATATGTGGTACTTCCTCTTCGCTTCCCGAATGGAAGCTTCTAAGCAAGGTGTACCTATACGTCTTTTTCTCGCTATTCCATATACTACTCCACCTCAGATTCCTCACTTGTTTGCACTATGAAGAGGATGACTAGATCGGGCGTGGGGCTCTCCAGAGCATGCTGCATGCTTGTGGAAGGGTCCATTGTGAATTCCAGAGAGCTTAGAGAATGTAACATTTGTATTCTTTCTCTACTGAGGCAGTTGAAAGTGTGGCTTCGAATCCCAGATGGGATTCCACCAAAACGTATTAGAATATGTACTTTACTGAGAAAGTGCAATCCAAAATATAACATACGTTTCTTAATGGCATTGTGTAGTCATGATTGTTGGCCATGGAAGCTGTGCCAATTTACGCATGTCAGAGGGGTACAGGAAGTATGTGATCTACCAGCTGTCAGACTTCCTGGTTTATGGAAGGGGCAGTGGCAGAGTGGGTTTGATCACTGACTGTGTGCTGTAGATTGGTGCTTTTACACTGAGAGTGTGGGTTCAAATCCTGTACTAGACTTGATTGAAGAAAGTATTAGAATCTGTACTTTACTGATAAAGTGTAAATATTATGAGTGTTACATTTCACCACATTATAAATGGCATTGTATTCATAGTGTAGAGAATAGTTAGCAGAAATGCAATAAGCAATATGTGAGATAGATTGAGTCTTTGAAATATCAAATCTTTTGGATGTTCTGCTCATTTGTTTCATGTATAGTCAACATATCATTCCAGAAAGTAAGTCAAGGAAAGCAGCCAGTTTTTGTAATAGATGAGATTGGGAAGATGGAATTGTTTAGCCAGTCGTTTGTCCAGTCAGTGAGGGGCATCCTGGATAAACCCATGACAACTGTGCTGGCAACCATACCTGTCTCCAGGGGAAAACCAATCTCATTTGTGGAGGAAGTGCGCTATAGAAAAGATGCAGTTGTCTACACGGTATGTAGCCCTGTGGCTGCCAGAATATTGCTACAAATAGTCATATGACAGGACTATATATATGTTCTGTTATTGGATCCCATGGACAGGCTCAGTGACTTTGGCCATATTATGTGCTATCTATCAGGATCTCAACCTCTGGATTATTTACAAGCTGTTGCCATACTGCTGGAATGTTGCCGACTGTGGCTTTAAATACACACATACACTCAAGACTCTCGCTTGATCACAATCACACACAAACACACTCAATCGCTCTCTCTCACTCACACACACACACACACTCTGAGTAAGGAAGAATTCTGCATGTGTTTCAGATAACAACAGAAAACAGAGACACCATCCTCAGTGAAATTGTGGAATCCGTGAAGTGTTCAGTGGAGACCTTCAGCACTTGATGCCATGTGATTAGGAGACCTCCAGTGGGAGACGCCAGGTAGTGTGTAGACCTACGGTTCCTGTATCACACAGTGTGATCCTGTGATGTGGAGACCTTCAGGTCTTGATGCCATGTGATTAGGAGACCTCCAGTGGGAGACACCAGGGCCCTGATTTTCCGAAGCTCTCTTAGCGCTAGGATAGTCGTAAGTGCCATACATTAACATAAACATACGACTCTCATAGTGCTAAGAGAGCTTCGAAAATCTAGGCCCAGGTAGTGTGGAGACCTACGGTTCCTGTATCACACAGTGTGATCCTGTGGTGTTGAGACCTTCAGGTCTTGATGGCATGTGATTAGGACACCTCCAGTTAGAGACACAGGGTAGTGTGGAGACCTACGGTTCCTGTATCACATAGTGTGATCCTGTGATGTGGAGGTAATACAAGTTGTGTAATACAAGCTGTGTCATACTGTATTCAATTTTTTGTGTGTAAATATACATGACGTTTTTGTAATAATAAATAACCTATTATTTCTAGGTTTTTTGCCTTGTTTTTAGAACTTGGAAACATGTATTTTTAAAAATTATACAATCTCAAGTTATGCACTTAGTCTTGTTCTTATGACCATGGAGTGGAAACAACCTGGTACAAAGTTTTCAGACCCTTAAACACCTCGCCTGAACACACCCCAGCTCCATCTATTGTTGTGGGCAGTGCATGCATTTACCCCAGTCCATCATGGAATTTAATTCTCTACCCATGAAAATACGGGTCAGAATTGATCTTCAGTAACCCGTAGTTGTTGTAAGAGGCGACTAACAGGATTGGAGGGTCAGGCTCGCTGACTTGGTTGACACATGTCATCGTATCCCAGTTGCATGGATTGATGTTCATGCTGTTGATCATTGAATTGTCCAGACTCAATTATTTACAGACCTCCGCCATATGGCAGGAATATTGCTGAGTGCAGCAATAAAACTAACTCACTCACTCATTCTTATAATTTTCATCAAAGGCCAAAGATGCAACGTGTTTTGCATACTGGTATGTTAGAAGAGTACAGATATCTAGGGTCAAGGATAACACAGCTAACCGGAATAGGAAAATGTGTGGAAGTTTTGTTCAGTTTTGACCTTCACCTTTATGTGTGGACTAGAATGGTGTTTGTTCCTGAGATAACAGTTGCTCCACTTGTAATCACCTCAATGATGAAGATTTTACAGTCTACAAGAAAGATAGTTCCAAGGATAAGGATTACAAACAGTGTGTTCAACAATTTTGGGCCATCCTCATTCATGGACTTGGAAGACTACAAAGAAGGCATATCGTTCCTTTAGATTGCCCACCCATGCTGCTGCTGATTTTCTTGAAGTTTCCTCGGAATCTGTGACTTATTTTAGACCTCCTGACCGCCTCTGTGGTGTGGTGGTTAGAGCATCCGCCCGGAGAGCGAAAGGTCGCGGGTTCAATCCCCGACCGCGTCATACCAAAAGATGTTAAAATATGGTACTTGTTGGTCCCTGCCTGGTACAACAAAGACTGGTCCGCTCAGAGTAGGTATAATATGTCTGAGTTTGGTATTCATGCTAAACTGCGTCATGGTATCTCAGTGAGCTAGCAGTATAAAACCAGCTTAAGTCTGGGCTAGTACAAGCAGCCACACATACATATACATATACACATACACACGCATGGACGTCATCATTTGAGCAAAATTTCTTAAGTACGACATTAAACCCCATTTCACCTCACCTTTAGACCTCCTGCCACGACTTGTGATCCTTTGATGCCGGACCCTTTCTTTCCCTCCAGAGTAGTGATTATTCACTGATTGCTGATCCCTTTGGCTCGCTGTGGCTGTTCTAACCTTGACGACTCTCCTGTAGCATTGTCCCTATCTCAAGTTCCTTCGTTGGATTCTACAAACCTGCTTGTGTCATCGATCTCTACGCTATTAACAACATTCCCTCTACCTTTGGCGAGTAGGGTAATGCTACCAAGGGCACTCGGGCAGTCAGGTGATGCTACCGAGGATATCAATTCATATCAGGTAATGCTACCACGGTTATCCGGGTCAGCTTGGGCAATGCTACTGTGGGTACCGGATTGAATCAGGGGTGATGCTACTGTTTGTACCCGGGTCGAGTTGAGTAATTCAACCAAGGGTACATGTCGGGTGATGGTACCCGGGTGGAGTCGGGTTTTGTTACCACAGGTACCTTGGTCACATCGGGTGATGCTACTGTGGGTATCAGTGTGCAAAATAGCCACTGGCCCACTAGCCTGTGTCTAGTAAAAATCCAGTTGGGCCAGTAAATCTCCAGTCACTTGCCCGACTGGCTAGTGAATTTTCATAGGGTAATGATGTGAAGCCCATTTCTGGTGTCCCCTGCCGTGGAATATTGCTAAAAGTGGCGTAAAACCAAACTCAGTCAGTCAGTCATAGGGTAATGTTTTAAATATATCACTCTCTCCGATTTGTTAAGTTATATAATACACTTTTAAATCATGCAAGATTATGGCCTGATAAATGATGGTAGTTTTCCTTTTTGTAATCTATTGTTTAGTTTCAAATTTGGGCTTGTGAATTATTTTGTGGGTTAGTAGTTTGCTTGCCCAACTGGCTAGCAAACTTTGGAAACTATTTCGCACACTGCTGGGTACAAGGGTTGAGTCGGGTAATACTACCACGGGTACCTGGGTCAAGTCGGGTGATGTTTACGTGGGTACCTGGGTTGAGTTGGGTAATGCTACCATGGGTACCCAGGTTGAGTCAGGTGATGCTACCACAGGTACCTGGGTCAAGTTGGGTGATGCTACCACAGGTACCCCGGGTCAGGTCAGGTGATGTTACCACAGGTTCCCGGGTCGAGTCTGGTATTGCTTCCATGGGTACCCGGGTCAAGTCGGGTAATGCCACCACGGGTACCCAGGTAATGCTACCATAGGTACTCGTGTCAAGTCAGGTAATGCTACCACGGGTACCTGTGTCAAGTTTGGTATTACTACAATGGGTACCCAGGTTGAGTCGGGTAATTATACCATGGGTACCCGGGTCAAGTTGGGTGATGCTACCACGGGTACATGGGTCCCAAACTTCCACCTAATCTAACCCTAGTTCTCACACGTTTATTTACCCATTTCATGAATGAGATCACCTTTTTTCATCATGCCATCATGGAAGAATGGTGATAAACCTATGATGTCATCCCACTGTTTCCCAACAGAGAAGGTTTAATTTGTAAATGTGTGTGTTCAACCTAATACTCATGTTACAGAGGGGCTGTGGGGTAGCCTAGTGGTTAAAGCGTTGCCTCGTCACGCCGAAGACCCGGGTTCGAATCCCCACATGGGTACATTGTGTGAAGCCCATTTCTGGTGTCCCCCGCCGTGATGTTGCTGGAATATTGCTAAAAGCAGCTTAAAACCAAACCCACTCACTCATGTTACAGATGTGTTTGCATTTTGAGCGAACCTATAACACTGTGTAACTCAGTTATACAGTTTTCCCATTATGCCTTGTTTCTGAAGCAAAAGACTAAAAGGCCTTTGTGATGAACAGTGTATCTATTTTGTAATATTGCTTGTCTATGATACCTTTCTGCTTAAAAAATCTTGACCCAACATTTGCCGGTAAAGAATGTGCGGATTCTTGACCAAGTCACAATTCCAACTTTCTTTAGTAAGTGGGGTTAATTTCTTTACCACCTTGATTTGGAATTAACTATTCGCATTTTGTTTGTATTATGGACCAATAGCCTAAATTATTGAATATAGATGTCTGTCCGTCTGTTCCTTGAAGGCTACTCCCTGTTGAGTTTAGAGGTGTCCAGTGCCCCTTGCTCAACTCCCTGTTCAGATTCCAGTTCAAAATATCTCAGTGCCTCATGTTTGTCACCTGATTGGAAGTCCAGAACAGAATAAATTCTGACTAAAGTACTGTCAGAAATAGAACAATACTGGGTGTTTTAGGCTGTTACTCTGTATCCCTAAAATGTACACAAATGCAAATAGGCGTCTACTAACTGGGCGTTCAGTGGAATGCATAATAGGATATCCAGAAAAGCATGTTTACTCGTAAAATCGGGCAAAACTTAGAAAATATACAAATAACTGCTGAAAATAATAGATCAGACTATAGATGGTAACTTCTTTGAGTGGCATTGTTTAGAAGTTGGAGAGTAATATACAGACAAACTTTATGGACAAACAACTTCTTTATTCGGTAGATGCGAAGTTTCGATACAGATTATTGTATCGTTGTCAAGCAAGTATCCATAGATGTATACATAGATGGCAATTAGGTAACTCTGCCAGGTATGATGACAGACCCTTGACTCACCTGGCATGAAATGCATGTGCTGCCTACAGGCACAAGGGGTCATCTCAAAGATATTTTATGCTTTCCATGTGTGTTGAATATGTCTCATCTATTGATTAATATCTAACATGTCTTTCTTTCATAAGGTTTATGTTGAGATATGTAAAAGAGTATGATACTCATAGAAAAGCTTAAATCAGCCAATTTATTAAATGTCTCAAAATATATATGTGGCATGACCTCCTGAAGATCGACAGCACTGGATTTTATTTGTAAATTGTTATGACATGCCGTTTACTTCCCCTTAAGGATTATCTCATCTTAACTGATATCTCTATCCCGTTTCCTATCTCACTACTACACAAACTAAGTTTGGCCTAAACTTAGTTTAACAGATATTTCACATATTAACTACATAAATTTGAAAAACCCCAGAGTTTTCTGAGATGATCGTAAGGGATTATATTTCAGAGTTGTGTTTATTAGTATGTCATGCTTATCACCCTGTTTTGATTCCAGTTCAGAATTGGATCCGTTGTCAGATCCATTCTAGCATACCCACTGACTAATGGAGTCGATTTTTGATAATATATAGTCTGTTGTTATACGACTGGAATATTGAATACTGTGGCATTAGAATGACAATCACTTGCTCATTTTGGCTTGAAAGCACCCTAGCCCTCGTTACACAAGAACTTTCAACACACTATTCAATACTGGAATAATGAAACAGAAAATGATTTTCATGGAAAGTATTTACCTCTTTATTTTCATGTGGAATCAAATCATTAAAACAACAAAATGACAGCATTACAAAACTACCATGTACACTAGAAAGTGAGATTGGTCAACACTGACCAGTTAATGGCGCACATGGAGGCTGAAAATAGATTTTTGCTTCAAGGGCACCATTCACACGTTTGCTTCAAATGACAAAAAAGCATTAACACTCAATCAAGGTAGCCACTTTGCCAACAGCAACTCTTGTCAGTCGCCATCTTGGAAGAGATTGAGACCTGTCTGCTAGTCGGAGACAGACGTCTTGCTAATATTTATACACATGGTATACACCCTGTGAGAAGCATCATATTCTTTTCAACCAACAATGGTCAACGTTAGTTTAGTATACTTTCCCATTGTACCTGCCTATAATGTTGTTCTGTACAACACAAATCTGTACATAAGCATATTGTGATTGTCATTGTGTAGCAGCTG